GTGGGGATCCTCACCACAGGGATGGGGGCCATTTTCTCCCAACAAAAATTCGCGGGGAATTTTCCCCACCCCACGGGTCCATGTGGGGATCCCCCATCCCCGTGAAAAATTAAAAAAATATATGTAAATTAATTTTATTTTAAATTTAATTCAACTTTCAAACTTAAATCCAATTCTATTAAATTTAAACTTAATTTAATTTTACCCAACCCATTATTAACTTTTTAGTTATTTATGTTGGATTGATCTTCATTTATATTTGGACAATTTATATTAAGATTTATATTTAAAGAATTTTAATTAATTATACTTGAATTTTTAAAATTTTATTCATTATAGTTGAATATTAATTAATTATATGTAAAATAATTATTTTTCTATATTAATTGATGAGGAATGGGAATCCTCGTGGGGAATGGGGATGGGGGCAAAATCTGCCCTCGTTTAAAATCCTTACAGGTATCCCTGTTCCCACCATTCGCGGGGACGAGAATGGGGAGAGACTCTCTTATCCCGCGGGACCTCATTGACATCCCTACTTCTGTGATAATTTCTTGACATTTAGATGTTGATATGACCATTTTTTATACTTAAATACTTACATCATGTAATTTAAAATTCTCAAAATCAAAAGTTAAATGACTATGTTGTACCCTACGTTATTTAAATGTAAAGGAATTGGTGTTAGGCAAAAAAAAAAAAATGATTGTTTAACTTATGTGATTTAATTTGAGGTTAACACAAGGGCTAATTTATTTAAATGCAGACATTTAGGGTCTTACATGCTACTTTTTTTTCTTTAAGTGATCATATAAGAAAATAAGAAAAGTCTAGGGGTTTAAGACTAGTTTTTGCCTATTTTCGAGTAATGGGAGGTCTGGAACTGCAGACACATGTGACTGAGCGAAATTGCATCAAGTTAGGCTTAAAATAGCCGACAATTAGAATAAATATAAGGCCCAAGTGCCCAGTACCAACCATGCTGACATGCTCCATGCACAACAGAACTACTCTTCCAAAACAAAAACACCTTTCTCTTCCTCTCTTCCATGCATTTCTTTCTTCTTGTGTTTTTAGGTTGCTACTTTGGTTACATTAATCACGAAATTAACAAAACTTGCAAGTAATCCGCTTTTTCGTAAACGGTAATTAAGTTACAAAGGCTCATCAAGGTTAGTAAATTGGATTGAGATAGTGCGATGGGTACTTTAATTTGCCTATTTCAAAAAAAAAAAAAAAAAAACCAGTATACATATTCCTCGACTTTGTCATTTTAGATACACGACCTCATTTTATTTAATTATGAGATATGATACAACATGTTAATGATAAATTAATCTGCCATTAAAATTTGAGTCTGCAAGAAAAATAAAAAGGGAAGCATTATTATTCAAATATTTATTAGCCTGTGACACAATGTTATATACATAAATGTAGATTAATTTTTTTAAAACAGTTAATAACTGATAATTGATATTTAACAATTGATAATTGTTAATATTTATAATTTAAAATATCTAATATATTTTATTAAATCTAACAATTAATAATTATTTTTAATAAGTCAAAACAAACACTTCTATAGACTTTTTAGAAGAGTAAGTCTTGTAAAGTTTAAAGATGCAGAAATTGATTATCAACTTTTAAAAAATGGTAACAGCTTTCAAAAACCATAATCTCTGCCTTTTTTCTTTTTCTTT